TGTCAAGAAGAAATGAGCTATGAAGCCATAAAAAGACATAGAAACACCTTAAATGCATATTACTAAATGAGAGAAGCACTGTAAAAAAAAAAGTTGTATGTATAGATTCCAACTGTATAACAATCTGGGAGAGACAGTAAAAAGATCAGTGGTTACCAGGGACTGGGGAAGGGAAGAAATGCAGAGGGGGAACACAGATGACTTTTGGGGCAGTAAACTGTTTATTGCATGTGATACACTAACACTGAATACACGTTATTATACATTTGTCAAAACTCGTGAACGTGCCTCACCAAGAGCCACTGTGCTCTGCGGACTTTGGGTGATAATGGGTCAGTGCACATTCATCAGCTGTGACCAATGTACCTACCACTCCAGAGGGGATGTTGGTAACAGGGAAAACTGCATGTGGGGAGGGACAGGATCTCTGAGAACTCTACACTTTCTTCACAGTTCTGCTGTAAATCTAAGACTGCTCTAAAATAGACCACTAACAAAGAAGCCACTCAGTGCTCACTTACCTAATTTAAAGGCACGCAAACATTTGTATTCTCATCAATAATACTGTATATCCACACTTTTTTTATTAAAAAGTATTTCAGTTACATGGAATTTAATGAGATCCTACTCCAGGGAAACGTTCCTGTGCTGTGGACCCGGGTTGGCTGGCTCTGGACCACAACCCTGCTGGCACAGGAATCCCCAGGGAGGGCGCCCAAAGGTCAGCGTAGGGTTCAAGGCCTCAGCCTCAGGATGCTTCCTTTTGTTTGGCATTATATGATTCACCAACAAGGAGTCCCAGCAGCCTCAGCCAGGAAGCCTTCTGAAGAGCTCGGTCCTACAAGCTACATCTGGCTGCTACCTGGGGCCACCGGGCAGAGCTCCAGATTCCCAACTTCCCTGAGTCAGCTGAACATTGCACCACCGGGACTCCGACTTCACTGTCAGGGAGGATGATTCACACCCTAACAGCCTTTCCCAGAACGCCAGCTGCTACTATATCTACTGCACCTACTGCCAGCTCTGCCTCCTGAACACAAACAGAGGGTCCTAGAGCAGCAGCTCCCAACCTTTCTGGCAGCAGGGATGTTTTGTGGAAGGTAATTTTCCACAGAGCAGGTGGGAGTGTGTATGGGACTGTAGTTTCAGGATGATTCAGAGGAGCACACAACACAGATTCCTGGAATGCGCCATTCACAGTAGGGTTCATGCTTCTGTGAGAATCTAACTGCTGAATTGACAGGAAGTAGATCTCAGGCAGGAATGTGTATTTCCCTGAAAATATGCGAAGTTTCACTTGCTCATCCGCTGCTCATCTCCTGCTATGCAGCCCACATCTGGCACTAACAGGCCACATCTGGCACTAGTCTACATCCCAGGGCTTGGAGATCCCTGCTTTATAGTGTCCCACAGCATCCAGACAGGGAAGGTCTCCCCCAGGATGGGATATGAATGCCCTTCTGAGTGCTCTAATATCTGACTGCCCACCAGGAACAATTCACCATGAATTATGAGCTTAGGCTCCTGAGTTCCATGGGTCCTGTGGGGCAGAGCCAAGCAGCTCATCCTGGCTGACCCTTCCTGGGAAGGTGCATCTTGCAGGTTGAAAGAGAAGGGGAAAAGGCTGGGCCCACAGGTACACGTTTGCACATGAGCCCTCTCACGTGACTGGTCCTTTGGGAGAGGGACATGTCGCCCGAATCTCAGGGCCTGCTTCTGTCTATGGGAGCCTGGTACAGAGGGTCAGAACTGTGGCTCTGGAGCCAGACTGCCCAGGACTGCTTATGGCTCCCCCTTCTACTGCCATGGGACTGTGGTTCATTAGTTATCTGACCTCCTTTAGGTTTAGTTTCCTCATCTTTGTGTTGAAAGCCATAGCACCTAGGTTGTTGTATTAAATGGAGTAATCTGTAGAGTCCCCATCAGACTCCAGTTCCCCTGGAGTCTGACAACCTCAGATCACCCCATAGATGAGTCCATGTCCAGGTAGTCTAGTGAGAGGGGAAGAGCTGGGGGTGTGTAACAGAAGCAAAACTTACAGTGGGTCAGGTTGACAATGACATGGACTTCTAAACCTGATGGTGGCAAGGCTGAGAATGTCTTCCACAAGGTTTTAGATCTTAATCCCCGGAAACTGGGCTGTGAATGTCTCCCAAGATTCCCTCCCTTCGTGTAGTCAGAATTATTCTTGTAAGAGAGAGGAAGAGAGGAGACTGGACAATGGCAGAGGAAAAGGCAGCAGAGGCTGGGGTGACATGGCCACAAGGTAAAGGATGCTGGCAGCCACCAGAAGCTGGAAAACTTCTCCCCAGAGCCTTACAAAGGGACTAACTCTGCCAGCTTCTGGATTTTACCCAGTGAGACTCACCTTAAACTTCTGGACAACAGAAACTGTAAGGAAATTAAGCTCTGTTGTTGTAAGCCACTTAAAATGTAAATTTTCACAGCTGCAGCTAGCATCTAACACACTGGACTAGAAGGCCAACAACCGACTCGAGAAGAGCAGACTCTAGGGTGAAGGATGCTGGTAAGACCATCTCAGAGCCACAGCCTCACCAAACAGGGCTCCAGGATGGGAACTAAATCAGAGCACAGCAGGCAGTTGAGGTGGAGGCGTTGTGAGCCAGCATGGAGGTAGAGCCTGGGGCTTGCCAAGCTGCTTTAACTTTAACACCTAGCTCACAGCTGCAGACCACCGCAGGTGGCCCTGAGGCCACCCTCCAAGCCCCACATCAGGGACCCCCTCCAAGTGTACTCCATGGCTGGGGCTGGGAGGGAACAAGTGCTTAGAAACTTCTAGCAATTCTGCTGCCATGACATTGTTGGAAATGTAATTTAACTGCTGTTAAATCTTCTCCTAATATACCACGGCTTACATTTTGTATGCCTGTTTTAAGAAGTCATTTATCCTAGTAAGTCGTTTTCATCATACTTATGAGTATTGATCTGCATTAAGTTGGAAATTTAATACTCACAGGCATAATGCTAGCCTCTTTAGCACAGGACTCCCAGCAGTCACCGAGCAGGCATGTGCAGGTGGACATAGATGAGCTGGCAGTGGTGGCACAGTATGCACACCCAAGACAGGAAGGGCAGGAGACAGCAAGGGCAGCACAACCCAGGACCCCCTGAGGGCCTCTGTGTCCTCGTGAACACCTGGATACCCACACTCACTCAGCCTGGGGACTGACCCCATCCACCCAGTGATAAGCAGCAGCACGAGGGCAGCTCTCACATGCATGCCTTTCTCGGGACACCATCCCTGCTCAATGAGCACACTTCAGCTGCATGTGCTTCCTCAGTACACACCCACTCAGCAGGACAGGATAAAGCTGGCCCCAGGGGGGAGGCATTTCTGCCCATAATCTGGAAAGGAAAATGCTGCAGAGGAAAGGCAATGGCCCTCCACACTGTGGCACCAATGTTGCTGGCACACAGTGCAGCCCAAGTGCGTTCTGCTTCCTCGTTCCTGCCCACGCCTCTCTCTGGATGGCTTTAGGAGACTGAGGCATCACACTCACTGCACAGAAACCCAAAGTTGGCTCAGAGGGGCAAGGAAGTGGTTCAGGGCAACAAGGCAAGGGCAGGCCTTGGAAGAAAGCCCTGGGTTCAAATTCTACCCTTCATCAACCTGCTGGGTAAGCTGGGCATTCTGTAACCTGGCCGGCCCTGAGTTCACAGACCTATAAATATGGAGATGCACATCTGCAACATGGGGTCTGCAGAGTGTGAAGAAATGCAGTGTCTGCAAAACACTTGACACCTGTTCCTGGCCCATGGGGCGCAGCTAAGGAACGGAGGATGCAGGGCCTTCTGGTCTGAAGGCAGCACTCTCTCTGCAGGAGCCCTTACAGACAGCAGGTCTAAGAGAACAAAGCTTCCGCAACATCACAAAGGCAAAAATGTAGTATAAAACGAAAGGCGCTAACTTGAGAACAGCACCTCTTTTTCAAGGCACATTCCATATTTTGTAATGTAACAAGAAATCCTGTTTACAACATAAATCATCAAAGAATTGGGAATTTGGAATTAAGTAAGCTTGTTTTTTAGGTGGTATCTCCAATGAATCTGAATTCCTTCTCAGTTTTATTACATATGCACACTTATGATCATTCCACATAATCACCAGTATTTCGTGAAATGTGACATAAGAATTTAATCACAGGTAGAACAAGAGTTTAAGAAAGCAAAGCTGTTTCACGAGGTGCTGTATATTCATTTTATTTCCGAAGCTGATAGAAATTAAAGTACTAAGCCAGCTACTGGCTACTGTAACAGTAACAGTAACATGAGCCTCAGTGCTCCCTCGCTGCCTATCATCCTGGACGGATGAAGCTGCAACACTTTTTGTAGTTACCAACTTAAACTAGTGTTTATTAGAAAAACAGAATGAGTGAGGAAGTTGGTTTTATAATATGTTTCAGTATTGGCATTAATAATATGCAAAATTGTCCACTCAAAAATTTGGAAATTTATCCCCCTTTAAAAATAATACCATGGAGTCTCAATGTGGTCGCAAGTAAAATTCCTCAGAGATACCTGGCTCTGTGTCACCTGTGTCATGGGATACAGGAGCTGAAGAACTACAATGGGTAGTCCCAAGCAGGGCCACCATTCAGGGCTGAGATTTGTCAGGACAATCAGGACGACTTCCCCTCTGCCTTTAGCCAGAGGTCAGGTTCCTAACAGCCCGAGCACAGCGTGGATGTGCAAGGCTGTGGCCCAAGAGTACTGGGCCCATCGCAGGGTGGAGGTAAATCTGAGCCTGAACTCAGCCAAGCATGCTTACAATTAGGAAACCATCAGAAGCCATGAAGACCTAGTGATGGTCCCAGGACACGGCTGCTGTGAGAGGGAAGCTGTGACAGAAAAAACGGGAGCATCTGGTGCGCTCAGCAGTCTCAGGTGCATCCACAGCCAGCCTCGGCCACAGCAGGAGGGTCACTAGGCCAGCCTTGATCAGTCTGGATAGTCCACACGCTGGGGAGACTATTCAAAACACAGAGCACTGTGGGGCAGATTTCCACTGTGATTAAGATGGTCATTCCTTACAAGCTGGTGGCTAATGGAGCAAGTCCTGCCTATGTGGAAATGTGCCCTGGGAAGTCTGCGGTTCCTATGCGTGGTGAGTAAAGAGGCAGGAGAGAGTGCGATGGGCAGCGGGGGTGGGAGGCAACGAGGCACTGGTAAGACTCTCTGATCTTCCATTTCCTGTGAAATGGGTGAAACAGGACAAAGAGAAACAGCAGGTTAAATATAAGATGCAAGGAACACTAGACCGAACACAGGACACAGCTCTCAAATATATAGCTACTTAAAAGTAAGCCTCCATTTGGGGTATGAAGCACAGAATACTACTTTCCAAGTCAAGAGGAACAAATATAGCAGTAAAATCCCCACCAAACACGCACATAAAATTTTGCAGTTTGCTGTCACCACCATGAAAAGCTGCCACCTGCTGGAGTTTGGATTGGTTTGTCTCCCAAAAGCTCGCACCCAGGAAGCTTGGTCCCTGGGGGTGGGGGGCTGTCTAGCAGGGGGTAATGAGGTCACAGGGAGGGGCAGTTGGGAGAGAGTGGGTTGTTATAAAGGGTGAGCCTGACCCTTACTCTGCCCTGACACCACCTGCCCTCGCCTGACATACCCAACAGGGCCTCATCAGAGGCCACAGGACGGAGTCACTGCAGTTGGGCTCTCAGCCTCCAAAGCCGAGAGCTGAACAAACATCTTTTTAAAGTTCCCAACCTTAGCCCGTTTTGTCACAGTAACAGAAAACAGACTAACATGCCTTCTGAAGAGTGTTACATGAGAACATAAAATAATAAACACAAACACACAACCCAGGAAAGGACTTCCTATGTGTAACAATGTAACTCTTTGCATTCTGGCAAACACCAGTCCCAGCTGATGAGGCGTTTCCTATGAATCCTTCACTAAAGGCCATCGGTGCACTAACATATTAATATATATCTCATCTTACAAAAACTAATTTTATAAAAGGAGTGATGATTTATAACAAGATAAAAATGTTCACATATTTAACTCTCAGTACAAGTTTCTGCAGGCTTCTTCTGTTTTCTACTGTATCATCCTTGTGGGTGTCTCCCAAAGGCTCCCACCCTGGAAGCTTGGTCCCCCAGTTGGGGGGGAGGTGCTGTCTAGCAGGGGGAAACGAGGTCATGGGGACAGTTAGGACAGAGCGGGTTGTTATAAAGGGTGAGCCTGACCCTAACTCTACCCTGACACGACCTGCCCTCACCTGACGTACCCAGAGAATTGGGGTCATACCCAATGGCATTAGACCTTCAAGCAGTACAAGAAGCCTTGAATGACAAGGGACATGGTGGCAACCACTGCCCTGGAGCTCATTCATCAATGTTGGGAGGTCAGTGAGCAGGACTCCTGTGTCAGGGGTGGTTAAGTGTTACGCTAGAGGAGGTGGCATCCCTGTGGGTGCAGAGGATAAAACTAACTCCCCAAGATGCCTGTAATCACCATATACTGCAATCATACACCAGTAGAAAAAAACCAAACCCAAATGTGGGCCAAGCCCACACTACACAGGCAATTCACCATGACAGCCATGCTATGTTAAGCCTGGGTCTTCTGATTTAAGATCAATGTATATGTGTATGTAAGGAAGATTTGTATCCAATATTTTACTAATGTATTCTTTTTTTTTTTTTTTTTTTACGGTACCAGGAATCAAACTCACAACCTTGCACTTGCCAGGCAGGCACTGTGCTGCTGAGCTAAATCCCCAGCCCACTAATGTATTCTTTATATCTTTATTTATATCTGGTATTTACTTTCAAATGCATCTGGGTATCTGAAGGGCTAAGAATTACTCATGTGAATCTTCACTGAGGTCACTATTGCTCAGCAGTGCCCAGCACACTGACTTACAGCAGGTGTGACCAGCGCTGAGTGGACAACTGAGGAAGGAGTGAGGGGGCAGAATGACCCAGGAAGCCCTCTCTTCACTGGATAGGTGCTTATGTAGGAGTCCCCTGTGTGCTGGGAGGAGGAAGAAACAAACAAGCATGATGATGACAGACTGTGACAAGTGCCATGAAGGCAATGAATCAGATAAAATAACAGGCAGTAATTAGAGGGAGAACACACCCTAGATGAGGAGGCTCTTGGAGGTCAGCAGCCCAGCAGAAGGATAGCAGGTGTGAAGTCCCCAAGGACAGAAAAGATTTGGCTTACTCTAAGGAACAGAAGGGAGACCAGTGTAATGTCATGTTTGACATGCCAAGAAGAACAGAGCACACAGATTGTCCCACAGAGACGACATCCAGATATGACTCGGCTCTAAGGAGTTCTACGAAGAAATGTCATGATGATAAATGATGACCACTGGAGTACTTCAGGCTATTTATCACACAAGGACTCCACTCATATCTCTGAATTTTATTTGTTACATAATTAATTCAGCTTAAAATATTCTGTTCAGCGGACAACAGTATAGATACTACATCCCACTTCACATCACTTGAGGTGTTCACACAGAAAGATAGTAGTTACTTATAAACTTGCCAGTCTCATGTGGTTGGATTTTCTTCCTTGTTGAAATATTTAAATGAACTTCAACATTTGAAGAAATGTCTTAGAGGCACTTTGCACTTGGGATAACAACTGTAACCTTCTAACAATTTCTCAGAGCTTGTCGAGGCTGACTTACTATGGGTGGGTTCCTGCAGGTTCACAGAGTGACCGGGAAGAGCTGTGCAGCAGTCAGGGCCATGAGGAGCTAAGCCGACTTCTCCGGAGTCACTGGCAGCACTGGGATGGAGTCATCAGACATTGCTTTTTTTGGTCCAGGTTTCGTACCCTGAAGAACACAGCCCCCGGCTGCGCAGGAGACAGCAGTCACAGCCTCTCCTCCAGCTGCTGGTAACCCTGCTGGTGTCTGGCCCCAGTGGGCAACTCAAAGTCAAAGTGAGAATAAATTAAGTAATATGACCAAGGCCTTATTGTGCTTAGAAAGAGAAAATGGCTGGGAAATGGCTCTTGAAAAGAAAAAGAAAAGAAAGACTGTACATGCAAGTTTAAGTGAATGTATCAATCTGTCGATGTGAGTAATAAATTCAAGAGACGAACTCCACATTGTTGACAGCGGTTACCTCTGGGGCGGGGGCTGGGGAGGGAGGGATATGTATATTTTTTCCAAGGGAGCCATTATGGTTGCTTTTTATATGTTTTTATGTATTTCTAAACACTATTTTCCACCTATGATTTCTCAGTGAGAACTGTGCCTTTTCTAACTACTTGATGAAGATAACCAGTTAAGTCATTTTTATACTTAACTGGAACCTTTATGCCCCAGAAGAATGGAGGCGTCATCTGCACTTCCGTTTGCCCTGTACATGTAGCAAGGCCCACAGCACAGCTTGATGGTGTTGCTAAGGAGACCACCACTGTGCTCGCTGCGGTACCCGAGGACCCAGCACAGCTGTGGTGTGTCAGATATGCAGTAAATACCTGCAGAATGAATGAACGAGTGACCATCAGTCTTTTGAAGAGGCCAACAGGAAAGCAACAAGAAGTGCTGGGAAACCATGAGCATTGGGCTGGATCTGTGTTGGGACTCCAGCCTGTCAAGTGCTGGCTATGTGACCCTGAGCAAAACAACCAATCTTTTCGAGCCTCAGGACTTTTATCTGTACAATGAGCACAGTACTACCTTCCTACCTCATAGGGGTTTGGGGAGGATTAACTGAGATAAAATATATATGTATACTTAAATATCTGCACTCACTACATGATAGCTCCTCCTTCTACATACTTTAGTGTAAATACAGAAACACCAGACAGTTCTCTTTTCAACACAATGTGGTCATGAAAATAAAAGCTTATTTTTATACACTATTTTATCCACCTAGAATGCCCTTCACCCTGTCTTTCTGTGAAACCTAGACCCAACCTCAAGGTCAAGATAAAGGATCACCTTTATCTAAAAGCATCATCCCATTCCCACTCCTTGGCCCAAAGTTACTCTCCCTCAGGACACATACTCTCCTGCCTCTCTTCTAGCAAGCCTCACTCTATTGGGTCTACCATCAGCTCTACTTGTGATCACTTCTTTCTTAGGTGGCAGCTTCTTAAAGGACAAAGGTAACTTCTGGTTCAGGACTGCATCCCTCAAAAGCATTTCTCATAGAGCTCTCCAGCTAATAGATATTCAGTGAATTTTTTAAAAACCAAATAAATCAACTTAACCACATTTTCCCATATGGAAAACAACATAATAGACTATTCTAGGCCTTCTTAAGAAATTGATTTGAACTAAAATGTAGAGAGAATTTACAGGACAGAAGCAGAGACTCAAAACTATACAAGTGGTAAAATCACAATTTGAGATTCTATAAAATGTATGTACGTGTACATTTTATACAGTACATTGATCACAAGGGTGTTAACAAGGCACAAAGACTTATTTATAATCCAAAAGGAAAACAAATTTATGTCATCAATTAGTTCTACCCTTAAAATCAAAGGACAAAGCTTTCTTAAAAGTGGATGAACTGGATGAATCTGGATGAACTAGTTTCTTTAAATGGATGCCTCTTCCCACTCCATTTTAGAACGGACTATAGCAAGCATGGCCATTCAAAACCTCTACATATGTGTTATCAAAATACTATGCTGAGTGCTTTAAACATAGACAATCTATAAATAAATGAAACCCAATGTTCTCCTGCCTCTCTCATCTTTGCACCCCTCCTCCCTGGCACAGAAAACCCTTAGTTAACCGTCACAATGAGCTTCTCCTGAGACCTTTGGTTATCTTCACCGCCTTGTACTGGGCTGCTCCCTCTCCTCCCTGTGTTCTCTCTCAGCTGTATTTAGTCGCATCCCCAGGATGATAACAGAAGCGAGTACTCACTGTGGCGCACTGACTGGGAGACAGGCTCCATGCCAAGAACTTCAAAGATCACACGCTAACCACGGCCTGCAGGGTGGCAAGAGGAGACACAGGAAGGTGGCCCAAACCAGAGTGGGCCTGGGGGCAGTCAAGGATGGCTTCCCAAAAGACAGAGCTTTCAAAAGGAGGTTATAAAGGTCAGGTCAGATGATGAAGAAAGAGAAGGAATGGCATGTACGAAGGGCACCGAGCTGTGAAATAACAAGACATGTGCACAGCCCTGTCAGTCCTCTGACAACAGATCGGCCAACTATGGTCTGACACTCCCAGGAGAACAGCAGCTCAGAAAATCAGAAAACCCAGAGTCAACCGAGGTTGCCTGAGCATTTGAAGTCATTACCCAGTGTCCATAACCTATGAAACAGCAGGTACAAAAACTTTCTAGGAGCTTTCTCTACCTCTATGACTGCTGCGCAACTCCCCCTCCAGCCTCCACCCTCACCCTGCTCCCCTGACCTCACCTGTGCAGAAGCCAAGCCAACATCAATTTCAGGGAGAGCAGAGGCAGAGGGCAGGCCCCGGCTCTCGCCTTCAGCGTGAGCATCTGCCCTAGGGTCTCATCAGAAGCAGTCTGGCTCCATGTGTCTGAGGATGGGGCCAACAGTCCTGTTTCTAACAGGCTCCCAGGTGCCTGCAAGTAGCAAGGTGCTAACCCTGCCAGTCACCTGACTGCACTCACGTCCCTCCTCACTGCGCCCCAGGACCGACCTGCCTAGGCCCCAGTTTTCTCACCTATAGATCAAAAAGGGGCTGGGTGAGACTCAGGAGAAAATATGTAAGAACCACCTGGCACGGGGTGGGCATCACAAAGGGTGGCTGTCACTGGTGACAGTGAACACCTCTGAGACGTCCAGCCAGAGTGGCCCTGTGTCTCTCCTTTCACTTCATTCTACCTGTTCTTGACTTGACTGCTTCTGGCAGGACCCTGAGCCACCTGTTCATTACACCATTATTTACTAGCATTTCCTAAAGCCCTCTTCTCTGCCTTCGAAAGCATTCGTCTTTCCCACCCTAAAAAATGAACTCTCTGTGGTCTTCAGTCACAGTCAACCTGGAATTTGAAGCATACCTGTCTTTGACACCACCATGCCCAACTCCTTAAACCTCTATCATCTGGATTCTACTTCCGTCCACACAGGAAACCACACTCAGCCGTCCTCCACTGATACTGTGACTCGAGAACTGCCATTCTCCTTTACTTCTTGGTATTTGTGACTCATGGCCAGAGTGAGCTGGGAAGCGGCATGACGGGCAGGTCCCAGCTATTTAAATGCAGCTGTAGTGTGTACCCTTGCAGCATGGACTCCCTTCACCTAGTAGTTTGGTCAATGTCACCCATCATCTATCACCTTACAGACTCCATGAATAGGGTCACACCCTGGGGCTGACTTAATGCCTGAGCATGCGCAGGAGATGTCTGGCTTCCTCTAGGACACCCAAGCACTCCTAACTCTCACCTGGCTGTTAAGGGAAGACTGGCCAGGAGCTGGAGTGGCTTCCAGAGAAAGTTGGACCGGGCTCCCACCAGCTCTGACAAAGGCCTCAGAGACAAGAGATGCCTCTGGCTGGCTCCTCCTCCTGCCAGCGGAGTCCTGTGTTTAGAGTGTGAGGTCAAGTCTAACAACAAGAGCCAGGAAAACTCTCTATCTTCTGTGCACACATGTCCCCTAAGTACCTTGTCAAGCAGGAAGGCCAACTAGTAAGATGATTTGGAAGGCTCAGGGTCCCTCATCCAAACACCACCAGCACATCACCTGGTCAGAGAGGAGGTAGCCATTCCAGTGCAGGAGCACAAAGCAGAGGTGAGAGTGAAGGGCTCAGAGTTAATCCTCTGAGGAAACGAGACTCTGAAAGTACAAAAGCAGATGAAACTATTCAGTGGCCAGTGGCACTCGTATCCCCTTGCCAAACCACTTCCACCATTGCTAATGACCAATCACTCTTCCACTGGGCTTTCTGTTTTATAAACCTGGTAAATAAAGATAATTGCTAAGCTAATGCCACATGTAGACACACAGTGTTCTATAAGGAAATCTCTCCAAGGGACCTGCTCATTGGTTACATGTTTGGGAAAACATCTTACTCTAATCTCTAACTAAACAATTTCCCAACCAGCCTATAGACAACTCACTGGCTCACTAAAGACACTGGCCTCGCCTGAACACTTCCTCCTGACTGCTCATGAAAGTGATCTCTTTGTGATCACTTCACACAATGTCAATGGAAGTTGACTTAATCACTACCCTTGGGTAGGGCCCAAGTCAGCATGATGACTGATAAGGCTTGCTAGACACGCACAGAGATTAGGATCAGGAGTCCGTGAGTGATGCAGAAAAGGGCATGGCTTCAGAGCTGGTGGCATGCTCCAGCTTCAGCCACCAGAAGAGAAGCCGAAGGTGGACACTCCTGGCAGCCCCTTGCAGCTCAAGGAAGGAGCCACCCACTCAGAAATGAGGCGAACTTGCACTGGAACCCACTGCACCATGTTTTTCTGCTATTTTTAATAACAGCACTGAGCCTCCAAGAAGTGGGAAGCAATGAATGAATCACTCAAAGTGATCAACAAGCAAATCTCAATGCAGGGAAAGGCATCAGGTGTGCTTAAAGGATGCAGAATGAATCAAATCCATTGTCAACTTTCAAATGCTCAAGATGAGTACAAATATTCTGATGTTTGGAACAAGAATCTTAAAGATGACGTTGACTATTTTTTCAAAAGCTCAATTCAATACCGCATAATATTCACAATTTGTCACATAAAATTCTCCAGAGAAAAGAGATCCAAGAAATAGAAAACCCCATGCTTCATTGGAAGGCATGCTTTCCACGAACACGAAGGCTCACGAAGGCAGGAAGAAAAGCACAGTCAATTCTCATCGTTTGAGGCAGCTACCGTCTTCTATAAAGTCACAGACTCAGAAGGGAGAGTTTGGCTGGGGCCAGTGTCTGCAGCGAGCCAGCGCCTCGGATGTAAGTCAACAGGGAAGTTGTTTGGTTTGAGGTTAGATTAAGAAGTTTCCTGAAACACGATCAATGAACAGATGCCTTAAAGATTTTCTTATAGGACACTGTGTACTTACATGTGCAGTGAGCTTAGTGGCTACCCTTAAAGTTACCCTAAATACTGAATTCATAAATACCGAGTCATTGTCCTTAGGGAAAATACAGGATTATGTTCTCACAAGCCTCTGGTCACATTCTTTACAGCCAATCAATACACAGCATTGTTTTACATTTGTCTCTGTCTAAAGCCACTTCACTGAATGTATATTGGTGATTTATTAACATTGAACTCATAACTAACTGTGTAACTTAGCCCTGGACAAAGCTGGACTAACATCTGGGAACACAAGACAGCACTTGAACACAGCACTTCAGGGGGCATTAAACAGTGAGACCATCAATGAAAAATCACAGCAACATGACAAACACGGCACTGAGGGGACGGAGAGAAAAGCTCAGGCACTGAGAGTGAGGGCCAAGGACAGAAGCAGAATGTCTCCTGTTCCTCAGCTTGGAACATGCGAATCAGAGGACTAACTTCACACCGCCATGCGCACGTCCACAAGCAACCCCAAAAGTACCGAGAGGGCTGGTGTTGGGTCACAGACAAACTTCGGTGAGTAGGAAAATTCCCAAGTACAGAAAGGGCACAAAATGAAGCTCAAATGTATGCCCCTCCCATCTTCAGGGCAGTGCTGTACAAAGCAGAGTCCTCACAGGCCCCGGTGCCCTCTGAGGCCGCCACCCATGCTGGGCAGGCGCCGCTTTCCCCGAGGAGTGCAGGCTGCAGGGCGCTGAGCTCTCACAGGCTACTGTTCTCCTCCGCTCCAAGCACATGCGCCTGCTCCTTGGGAGAGACGAGGACAGAGACCACGCACAGCTGTGCCCCGGGTGCACACCTCAACTGAGGGCTACACAGACAACCTCAGAGAGCATGCAGCTCAGACGCAAGGCCATCTTCCTGCAGGTGATTTAAGATGCACGTCTCTTTACAAGCATTGTACATGTTCTAATTAAATTCTAGATTGCCCAAAGATACTGTCATACTTTCTTGGCATTATGAAGGATGACCCCAGATGTTGTGAGCCGGAGAACGAAGGCACTGGGGCAGGGTAACTAACTCATCAAATCATGAGGATTCTCAAGAGGAGAAATTCTGTAATTCTACAATTCTGGCGAGAGAAAACAGTTACATTTTATGGGTGGGAGTTTTGAGAAATTAAACTCAAACTTTCAAAATAAATTCAAAGGCACTAACAATGTTTTTAAAAACCACATGATTAGGACAATTAAAATACAATTAAAAATTGGAAGGAGTTCAGAAATTGTTATATTCAGAACATTGATGAATTAGTTATTCTGGTTGAATGAAAGCTTCATCTGAGCTTTCTGGCAGCAAACAGGAAAGGGAAACTTCTAGATACACAGTTTTCACCAATAGATAAAAGCTAAAGTGCCAGATCTGCTAATCAAGAAAGAATATATTTCCTGGATGTGAACAGCCAGCAGGCATTTGTTGTGCTAGCACACTGATTATTTATGATTGTCTTGGCCTCTTGATCTGCTGGTGTCTAGGACATTCTCTGTCACCTAGCAACCCCACAGCAGCACTGTGAGCTAGTGCTGGCATGGGCTAAGTGCTGCAGTGACAGGCAGAGGGCTGGAGACCCCCACACAAGACATCTTCCAAGAACAGCACCAGTCAGTCACTAACAGTATAAGAAAGGAATAAGATGACAAATATTTGCAAAGCCTAGAAGTCCAGTAACCTGCACAAGCAGCTAGGAGAGAAACGTACTTCAGGGTCAAAAGATGTCCCTGGGAACATAGGACAATAAGAATAGTTAAAAGTTTGATACAACATCATCTGTTACAATTCTGGAGCCAATTTTGGACCAAATGGCTAGCTGATCTACTGTTGCGTCTTCTTACTAAGAATAGTAATAATAATTATCCCTGTAAAAATGATGTTAAAGGGCTTGACTTCTTTCAAAAATAAATGTATGCTT